ACACTTGATTGGGAAGTGTTACCCCACCCGCCGTATTCACCAGACATTGCGCCGTCCGACTATCATCTGTTCCGGTCAATGGCACATGCTCTGTCGGAGCAGCGGTTCACATCATATGAAGATACCAAAAATTGGGTTGATTCGTGGATAGCCTCATAAGATAAGGAGTTCTTCAAACGTGGAATCCGAACGCTGCCTGAAAGATGGGAAAAAGTAGTTGCTAGTGATAGACAATACTTTGATTAAACTTAAACTACCGTTCTGTCACAATAAATATTTAATTTTTGACAAAAAACGGCGAAAACTTATTTGTACTCCTAATATATATCTAATATATATATATCTATAATAATGATAGTAATAATTTATATATCTAATATTGTAGATGTCAAAATATAATAAAAATGGACTTAAAATTGAACATGTCTTTATTCTGCAATTACTAATTATTAAGAAGTAGAAATGTATATGGTATTGTGCGAGATATATATAGCTACGTATAGCTATATATATATCCCGTTAGTTCGCTATTTCCAACGGTACACGAATAGGTAGCGCTGAAACTAGTCCCCTCTTTTTAGCAAGAGTGAGTTACGACCCCCTGTATAGGTTCATGTCGCATATAAGTACACTTATATGTTTCCAGATTTGGATTTATATATATTACATAATGTGATATATATACAAAAAGACACCTTGCAGGGATAGATATAACCTGTAAAAATATTATGAGACCATAGCAGATCAATTTCAAAGCCTACAATGGACGAAAGTTCTGATTTCTTCTTATCTTACAAAGAGAAGTGCACTACACTTGCTCGCTGCTTTGTGCGCATCCCTTCCACAGCTGTAGCATGCTCTAAGTAACTTATAACTGCTCTTATTATTATAAGAATCTGTAAGAATATTATGAGATCGTAAAAGAACTATTTTAAAGCCTACAATAAAAAACATTTCTAGAGTTGTAATTGTCTAAACTTGATGAGATGTAGTGGATCTAAAAGCAAGAGCCAATCACGTTCGACTGTTACAAAGCAGTCGTTTTGTTGTACGCAGCATCGCCTCTAGTGCAAAATTTGGGAACTACGTAGTACTTCGTACAGACGGCGTCATTAATTCGAAGAATAGGCGCGGGGATCGGAGGGCAAGCGGGGCGGTTGCTCGTAGCGCCAACGCGCGCCGTACTAACTAACTAATAGCAATCGGGTGTCCACACAGACTTCTATAGTATACTAAACCGCTAGCTTCTTATGTACGGCTGGCTACAAAATCTATGTACTTAAGTCGTCATGGAGGGAGAAGATGGGAGTACTGATGAATGCAAGATGGCCGTCATGTTTGACAGCTGATTGAGTTGTAAATTTTTTTCTTTGTCTGCCTTATTTCGACAGCCAAAAACACAACAATATTTTGGCATATTGGTTTTCGTTTCTTTTAATGTGTGCTTTATGCCGTCAACCGCCATATAACCTTCACTATGCTGAACTGCTGAATTGCTATCTGCGCATGCATCGTCGCGCACGTACATAAGTATATAGGCAATGATTGGATGAACTATCCTTATCGTCAAAATCAACCAATGAAACCCGCATTCCACAGTACCCCCATTGTACATAGATTTTGTAGCCATTATCTACGCTGAAATCACGCGAGCTAGTGGTCTAGTGTAGTATATAGAAGTCTGTGGGTGTCCACAACTGGACACCCGATTTTGGGACTAATGGATATTTGGATCAACTGAACTTTTTATGTGATCTTCGCGCCTATTCTTCGAATTAATGACGCCGTCTGTACATACTGTTTTGACAGGAAATCTAACCCTTGTGTTTTGCAATTACAGTTCCAGGACTTTCTTTTATTTTGGACTTTGATTGCATGTTTTTATAATCTCGTTATATTCTTACGAGTTATATCTGTCCCTGCAAGGTGTGTATTGGTCTATATAATGTTTAAATATGTAGGCATACAGCATAATAAAAAGGTGTTAATTTTCTTGATAAAAAATTTATTTGCTTTCCAAACATTTATTATTTGCAGTGATTCTGTAGACTGTTTTCTTTTTTTTTTGGAGAACCGTTTCTTTCTTTATGCAGTAACTTTTTCACAATTTCTGAGTCTGCGTTTGTACTAGTTTGTTGATAAAACAAGACGGTTCATCATCCTCTTAAAAAGATCCTAAACTGAATCTGTTTTATCGACTGAATTTACGACGTATGGCGTCAGATCGTAGTGCTAATTCTTTATTATAAAAAGTTGTGCAGTTTGTACGTAGAAAACCAACTGTGTCCCGTTTTCGGAAAACATAAAAAACAATATAGAGCTCTCAGAAATATTTTTAGAAGGTTAGCGTAAATAGTGTGCGTGAAATGATGAATAAATAGTGTGTATATTCCAATACTGTTCTGAAAATATTCACGCACACTATTTATTCATACTAGGCTTCTAAACGCATTTCTGAAAGCTCTATATTGTTCTTTATGTTGTTCCAAAAACGGGACGCAATTGGTTTTCTATGTACAAACTGCATAACTTTTTATATTAAGCGAATACTACTACAATCTGACGCCAAAAGCTGTAAACTCAATCGGTAAATCGACGGAGTTCGAACGTCAGTTTAGGATCCCCTTAAGATCACTGACACTAACAGACTTACAAGTATCTATTAAAATTCTTACGTCGTTATCACTTAGGTAACTAAATATTTGTTCAATACACTCATGTGGTAGCTCAAGAAAGTTACAGAAAAAATAGAACATTTTAGTGCCTTGTTCGAGCAACTCTTTCCTTTCCATACCTTTTCTGAAATTATTTTTTATCATGCTAGCATATATTGGAAATTTTGTTTTAAAATCGTCTGATCTTAGAACCTGCACTACATTTTCATTTCTCATATATATTGCTAATGGATTTGTATCTTTTATCAAGATATCATAAAATGAAATGTTAGAATTACTAATTTTCTCATTCTTCATGACTGCTAATTCTTTCTCACATATATCCTGTAAATATCTTATTTCATAATTGCTACGCATAAACAATAATTGTTCACTTACGTAGATATTTGCAGTTTTCATCTTAACTATATGCTGTGTAAGAATCTCAGCAACTGATTCATAACCATTGATGCCACGATAAAGGTCACGATAAACCTTATATGGTATAGAATTAATGTTAGCACCTCTGTCTAACAGCATCATAACAACATTTACATGTCTGTTTTTAACAGCAAGACACAGTGGTGTATCACCTGGTGTAAAGGAATAGATATATGTAGAATTAATATAAACTCCATGTTTTAAAAGATGTTCATCAATCTGTAAATATCTTTTCTCAGCTGCAATATGAAGAAGAGTTATACCGTTATTGTTACTGGCGTTAACGTTAGCTCCAT